CTACACCCCCCCCCTCCTCCTCCACACACTCACTCACAAATCACACCACAGCAGGTGACACAACTTACTGGATGAGGCCTCCGGCAGCGATGTCTCCTCCCCACTAGATCCTCCCACACTCGCCTGGTGATCCAGCGTGTCACTCGACTGGCTGAAGATAACCTAGGGAAGGGACACAGATGGGAAAACATCAGTCAACACATGGACCTGCCAACCCTCTAGTGGGGAGGTATGGGTGTCGGGGGGCACACACACACACACACACACACACACACACACACACACACACACACACACAAAACGGCTCAAAAACAGCAACAACACAACTCACAAAAAATGTAAAGTAACTATAACTATCCAGTATCTCATGTTATGAAAGACAAACATAAATACAACAGGTGTTATAAAACACATAAAACATAAATACACCAGTACCACATTTCACAAAACAAACAACATTACAACATCAACATCATACGTCACAAAACATGTAGCCAAATATCTCATGTCACAAAAGGTAACATCGCTACACAAAATCTTGTATCCCAAAATGTAGAACAACACCGACAATATCACCACAAAAATCTTAACGTAACTATACCAACAAGATATGTCATAAAACACATATAAAGAAAAGGAGGAGAGATAAGGACAACAGATGTTTGATAGGAAAGTTGTATGTTTGTTTGAATAAAGAGAAGCACATCGACACAATAAAGGTCATTTGGTGCTTGGAAAAAGTGAGACAGACAGACAAACCGAAACAACTGAGAGAAAGTAAAAAAGTAGGACCCACCAGTATCACCCTCCAACCACCCTCTCGGAAAGAAAGAGAAAACCCCCATGAGAGCACCCGCCAACTGCCCACCACAAGGGCAGTGAAGAAAAGCAGGACCAAGAGAGATAAAAAGACAGAGACACAAGAGAGATCATGGGAAGAAGGGTGGGAGAGGAACCACTACACAATTTTCTCACAATGAATTCCTTTGTCACAAGCTGTTCAGTTTTAGTAAGAGTTTTACGGCACTTGCAATACAATAAGGTAATATAAGTGCCGAAGATTAGAGGTGTTACAAGAGAGTAACAAACACAAAAAAGAAGGGGGGGAGATAAAGACGATAGATGTTTGATGTTTGATAGGAAAGAAGAAGCAAACCACATCAGAGCACCCCCCAACCACCCACTTGTCACAAGCAGACCATATTCAAAACAACTACCAGTGTAAAATAAGACCCTTACGTATGCTCTCAACTACATATTCCTGTACATAAAACTGTATTGTTGGACCAATCTCATACTACAGATAGTTCCTACTACTTATGCTCTCTGATACAAAACTGCAAGACACAGTTTTTAACTTTATGTATCAAGGTCACTTTATATTAAAAATAACTTTATGAATCACACAAATCCAAAATGTGCATGACAAATTTCTTTGCTATAAAAGTCACAATATTAGAAACTTGAAAATCAGAATAATAATACATCTTCTAGAATGTGTTTTCAATATGGGACACATCCATGAGGAGAGACGAAACTTATCTCACTGAGACAATTTGACAGTTCATAATTCGAGAGAGAACCTTTTTCAGTGCACCATTTGACAGTGCATCCAACATTTGACAATTCCCTATTTCACTGTGCATTATTTGAGAGAGAACCTAGAGCACTCACTATTTTACAATAGCACTATTTGGCAGTGAATTATTTGATAATGCGTTATTAGCAGAGCACTATTTAACAGTGCGTTGGCCATTTCAGCATTTCATCAACATGAAACCAAGGACGTAGAGAGAAAGGGAACTGATTGATTCACACAAACACACATCACTACCCGCAAGCCAGCCCACAAGCAGTAAAACCGGATGTGTCTCAGTGAATGCAGGAGAAGCATACAGACAAAATCATGGCTATGATATATACATACACATATTGCACTGAGTAGAAGCAAGATGGCTGACAGAAATAAGGTGAAGGAATTACAGGAAAGCTTTAAATCTCCCATCTATACAAAGCAAAAGTTAAAACAACAAAATTTTGATCCCTTATTTGTTGGTGATTTCTTTAAAATAAAAAGCAAAATTACATCGAGACAAAACATACCAAAATGTGGTGAATGCGTGATCGAAGAAGTTCAAATTAATATAATAAACACATGCATCGTATTTTCTATGCTGGTACTAATACATTACTCCAAATGAAACCTTTTTGGGTTTCTCAGATAATTTTTGGTCTGCCGATAAATATGATAGGTTTAAACTGGAAATGTAACCTGTTTTAAAAGTACAATGATATCCCATCGGTGGGTCTGTTACCATAGAGGACTCCTTTCTCTCTGAAAAATTTCACAAATCTATAGCTCTACTTTATAATTGTTGTATAATTCAACATTGATCAGATACCTCTGTGCATAGTTTCATATTTCTGGAAATCTTGTTAATTTCTTCCCCTTGACAACCAAACGGCAAGCATATTTTAATCTCAACCTCCATTTCATATCTACTGCATCATGATTTTTCATATACGCGCCATGGAACAATAAATCTTAGCAGGAACTAGAAGTACATTTTTCAGTTTAATTTTAAAGAAAATAAATAATCCCTTTAGTGAAAGTAATTTGTTAACATGTTGGTTAAACTCAATATACGCTCCGAGCTTATCTAGAATTCCTTTGAAACAAATCAGTTATGCAATATCAGAAATGCAAACACTCTTTAGTTCCACGAGGAGTTTTTAATATTAAACAGAAGTCAATTAGCTGTGGAAAAAAAAGCCCCACATATTAAAGCACACATATTGTTATTTACTTTCAGAATATACCAAAGAGACCTGGACTGAAAACTGAAGTTGTTATTCTTTTCATTAACCTGTAATCCAAATATATTTAGAAAGTGAGTCGATAGGCAACTACGCTTACACCTTCTTGTAGATTCCCGGAGCATTCATTTGCTTTCATTCTGTTAAGTTTTCAAGAATAAAGACCAGAAAGAACCTGTGAGTTGTGAGCCAAGGGAACTGAAAGACACAGCTTTCTGCAGCAACAGTAACTAAGAGTGACAAAAGAAAATCATTAAAGAAATAACTGATGACAGCACAGCACTTAATAACACTGTCAGAGACAGAAGACACACTGACACATCAGCTCAAATACAAAAAACACATTGCTGACACATCAGCTCAAAAAACACAAGACACAACGCTGACAAATTCGCTGAAACAGAATAGTTTAGCACCTGAAACAATTTTTAAATGACATCCGCTCCAACATTTAACACATGAGGCTGGGAGAGGCCAGAGCCTAAACACACAAATGGTTTTTGCGCCAAAAGTGTGAAGGCAAAAGTAAATCGCAGAGAGAATACAGTGCATAAGAAACAAGAGAAGCATAACGTTACAACTGGGCTACATGTGATTACATCTGGGCTATACCGCTGACATCTGTGAGCACATGCATCCTCACAAATCCACTTTCATTGTATTGGGCACTCCACCAACTTGATAACTCTGACTGATAGAGAATTGTTTGAACCTTTTTCCTCAGTTTGTCCCACAAAATGAGATTTCTTCACAAACGGAACTACCACCCATCCATTAATCAAGCAGCTTTTCCCTACTCTCACTTTTCATTTCAAAACACTCCTGTTTTCCAGTTGGGGAGGGGGCGGATGGTTTGTGGTAGTGCACCAGTGTGTGAAGGGGTATCAGCGGAAAGTCAACTATGAAAAAATCTGCAGCTGGAAGCTTCTGTCATTACATCATGTATCAACTCCATAAGCCGCGAAGATTACACCTACCTTTATGAAAGCACATAAAAATAAAACATTGGCTAAAAACATAACTTTAAAGTGCAGCAAAGTAGAAGAGGAAAATTTGCAAAAATATTGGGGGGTCAAAAATAAATAACATGAACTGGGAAATCATTTAGCACTTTTTTAAATGACACGAACCATGCATTTTGTGGGAACCGCGGGGAGAACCAGACACACCTCAAAAATCAGAAGTGCTTCACCAACAAAACCAGTCCCAACAGAGGGTGCACTAGTAAGGGATAACAACAACTTTTGAGGCATTTCAAACATTTAAAAAAATTTTCATTTTAGAAAGACTGTATTTGAATCTGAACGAGAACCATTTCTTTACAACAAATCATTAATGAAAAGCACCTGGAGCCTACTTTTAAGTAGTGGTATACGAAATATAAATACAAATAATTACTTTTATTTCTGGAATCATATGCTCTAAACTAGCTCATAATTAATTTTCTAAGCTCTCTAGCTTTCGCATTACACAGACTGAGGCGATGAGTAAAACGAATCAGTCACCTCAGGCTATGACTGATGTCATAAGTTAAGCTCATACTCACACATCAAAACTACCACCACAAAATCTGGAATGATTATAAATCTTTTATCCCTCTATCGTAACAGTTTAGATTATGACTCCGGAGGCAGGCTGCTTTGACTGCGCCTGCCCGTCAGGGCCAACCAGAGCTGAGTGGGACACAACATCCCAGCAGACACATGGAAATCATCAGTAAGTGCCAAATCTGCGACAGACATTGGCAATCAGGGTTCTTCATTCATTCCTTTGCTCTTAAAAAAGTTACATTATTGTGATCTTTCCCTGTCACCCATCTATTTAGGCTCTCTAAGTAGTTGCTCTAGCTCCCTCGTTCGCCTTCAATTTTGCCGGTGAGAGCAAGATGTTCAAGGCCTTTATGTCTATTCAAATGTCCCAAAAACTGCATTTGTCTTTTCCAGATTGTTCTTATCAGAGAGCAGCCCACATAGGCGTCTTCAAGTACTACCTCATTTGATTTCTTTCCCTTCCTAGATATTCTCAGCAGTCTCCTAAGAAACCACAATTCTGTTGCTTCTATTTTATTTTCACTGTCTCCAGCAATTGTCCAGCATTCACAGCCATATAAAAGGATTGATCATATGTCGCTTTTCAGGACTTCAATTTTGGTAGTCATTGAGATGTTTCTATTTTTCAGGATTGGGCTCATATTATTGAAACTATCCTTTGCCATAGCAATTCTTAATCCTATATCTAAGGAACATCAGGCATCAGATGTAATTATATATCCTAGATATTTAAAATGTTGAACTTGTTTAATCTTATCGCCTTTGCTTACGAGATAAATTTAAATAGGATTTCCTTTTTTTAGATATCACCATGCATTCTGTTTTCTTCACATTCAGCAATACCCCTTTACGCTCACTTTCCGTTACAACAGTATCTAGAAGAGAATTAAGGTCCTTTTCCGAATCTATTTAAAGCAGAGATGGAAATACTTGATAGAATAAACTACCCCACACGAGAACCAAAGTTACATCTCACACGTGCAGCCGTGAAAACCTTAACCACTGCACCAGTATCAAACACACCAGTTTTCAAAACAGGAGCAATGTGCACTTGTACCTTTACATTTTCTGTGTCCCAACAGACAGACAAAACTTGGAGACCACAAACACACTGTGTTATATATGATAATCTTCACATACACCAGGACTCCCATACTTATTTCCCCCATCTCATACAGTGCAAAATAAAGGGGCAGGGAGGGAGCGCTCTGGGTTATGAGTTTCCATGTAGGTGTCCGGGTGGGGTGAGGGGGGAGAAGGGGGAGAAGGGG